TTACATATTTATAATATTATCATGACGTTCCAAACCACCAAATGATTGTTTAACTGTATAAAACTTGACCGAACGGTTTTTTTTTTGGTTTTTTTTAAGTAAGCGTTTTTCGGCTCTTGCAACGCAATAAATAAGGTCATAAAAGTGTCAAAGATTAGATTGTGCTACAAGAGAGTAACAAACACAAAAATAAGGGGGAGAGATAAGGACGATAGATGTTTGACAGGAAAGAAGGAGCAAACCACACCAGATCACCCGCCAACCACCCACTCATCGAGTCAGTCTAGATCCCCGTCTTGACGTTGGTAGTTGCTGCACGACAGTACCCCGTCCGGATCAGATGTGCTATGGACCAACCCAAAGACGTCGTCACACATCTGACCAAGGGGTTCTCGTGGCCTAGAGGTTAAGGTGTTGGCCTCTCATTCAAAGGTCCCGGGTTCGAATCCGGGTAGCGACCGAAAATTTTTCTTCTATAAAATTGTCTCCTTTCCCCTCCTTTCCCCTCCTTTCCTGCTTTCTAGCAATGTTCTGTCGTCTGCTTTCGTTTCCTCTTACTGCCTCCACCCCCTCACCCCCTTTGCCCCCTCCTCTGGGCTCCTGACTCTTTCTGCAGCCTTTCTACTACTACTCCTTAGCTCCTTCTTACTGCTGTCTTTAAGCCACACCCCTGATCTTCTGGTAGGAAAGATCTACACCTAGCTTTCTCGGACAAGGGCGAAAAATCTCGGACGGCCCGAGTGCAGGTTGCGCACGTTAAAGATCCCTTGGTGGTCTAAAATCGATAAGAGATAGTAGGCTTCGGCTGCCACTGCGGCAAAATTCAAAATTTCCGACCAACTGAAAAGGTTTTATGTGTCCCGGGCGCTCATATGACCGAATGCCGTAAAACACTTACCAGAAAAAAAACATATATCTGACCGCATTCAGCAGGCTGCTGCCCTACGGAGGAAGCCAGCTATAAAAAGACAGAAAGCGATAACCTACCAGTGACGCCCACCTACCACCCGCGCAAACGGGTTCACTGACTCCCTGTTCTACTAGGGCTCTGCAGGACATTGGCGTCAGTTATGAGAAAAAAGACACGCCGGCCATCTACGATGGAATGTCCAGTGTTAAAGACAAGAGTTCATTGACCACATCATGCCTTTAAATCCAAGGTCTTGCAGGGCACTGACTTTTGTAATGACAAAAAGAGATGATGGTCCTTTCGGACTGGTCAAGATCTTCAGAAGCGGGTTCACTGACCACCGTTATGCATTTGGGCAGGTATTCGGAGATAAGGGGCGCGGCGCCCTCGAACGACTAATCTAATATTGCCCTCAGTCCTTTGGTCAAGAATCCTCGGAAAAGACGAACATACTGTTGGTGATAATCTCGTGATTC